TCCATCTGCCTCTGCCTCCTGAGTGCAGGGACTAAAGGTGTGCAACACTATGCCCAGACCTTTTTATGTTACAATTTTAACCAAAACTAAGTTGTACTGTTAGTCAGAACAGCGATCACTCTGGTGAAGAGGGATTACCATGGGAAGCCAAGAGTGTTCTAGTCTTGTTCTGTTATATACTGTGACAGCTATAAATTACCTGTCTGTAAGACCATCTTCAGGTTGAGACCGTGAGTTTCAAACTGTACCGTCATCTGTTAGTGCAACCACTCGCACAGTCTAAAGACCTGCAGTCTCAGAGAGCCCGTGGACTGTGGCAGCAACGGTACATTTGCTTCATTTGCTTCATTTGCTGTGCCTCCCCAGGAATCACCCCAACAGAAAAAGTACACACACTTAAAATCTCTGGCAAAAAGGGATGCTGAATTATGGTTGCACTAGAATCACCTAGGAGAGCCATGCAGGTACCTAAGACAAACCTACATTTTCTGCTGCACAGCAGCTACCCAGTGCAAAGCTGCCTGCCTGGATGGCCGCTGCTGTCTATTTCTGCTTCTGGATAAGCAGTTCAGAGGCCTGTGCTTCACTTAAGGCAACAAAGCCAAGCAAGGCTCAGAATCACCTCATCAAAGAAAACTTGAAAGGAAGAGAAAGGTCACACAGATTTTGACATTTTCTCTGACTGTTTTCCCTATTTCCTATGGCTCCACTGGACCTACAGACGGTCTCACAGCGCTTTTCACTTTGTGATGACTTCCCTCAACACAATTTCTACCACTCCCTGTTTTACTGCCAGTAAAATTGGCTTCTTTGAGCTGGTCACTTTGATATCACTTTTACAACTCTGATCCAATCTGTTCTTCACAGCCAAATAAGTTCCCCTGATGGCAGACTTCTCAACCCGTTTTCTAGATCTAGCTTTACAGAGCCCTTAAATCTACACTGACCTGAGAAACTAAGTTATTTATTTGGCAAACGAGCTTGATACTCCTGAGATGTAAAGATAAATAAGATGATTCCTGATTTGAAAGGACCAGAAGTACCCCGAGGGTGCAGAGAGTAGAAACTCCAAATGAAAAAAGTATAGAGTCTGTGGTCACCACCCTACAGCAGTGGTTATATACGAACAGCCTCGGTGCCCAGAGCCAGGGGTCTTGAGCGTGAGGCCAGGAGAATGCAAGAAGTCTATAGGGATGAAGTTCACAGGCTCCCCTGGAAGGAAGCCATCATGGCATTTAATACTCACAGAGACTTCCATCTTAACTTGCTGCAGGAAAGAATTTACAGCTCAGCCTTCATTAAATTTCTTACAAAGATTATAGTCCAGACTCCTCTCTGCTTCCCTTCTTTTTTCACTTTTGTCTTTGTCTTGTGAGCAGTTCTTCAGACTTCTACCCACACTGCACAACTAGGTAATGAATGTATCTTCTGAAGCCATGTTCCCTAAACTTACTAACTCAAATACACCTGAACACTGGCCAAGTTTTTAACAGTTACTTTTGCCTCCTATGTTAAAAAAAAAAAAAAAAAAAAAAAAAGGAAAATAAGAATAGTTAAGACGTTGGATCCAAGGCCTAGCCAAGATAACTTACATAAAGCACACAGAATAAACACAACAGCTGGCATAAAGTAAGGGCTCAACATCAAGCTGCCGACTTCAGTGTTGCCATCTCTCCTTAACCACAACACAAGCTTGTTTGACAGATTATGGCCGAGGTGCTTTCTACAGCACCAAGACGAAGGTTCAAACAGTTTTCAGATCAATTTCAGGAGAGTAAAAAAAAAAAACAAAAAACAAAAAAAAAAAAACAAGGTTGTCACTATCGCATTCAGCTTTTCAGCTTTTGCTGATTCTCCCAAAGATACACGTCATAATAATTTCCCCCTAAAAAGCTTTATGTATGACCTTTGCTCACAAACAACAAAACTTTTTCTAAATAAGTATGTAAATAGCTGCCGAACAGAGGCCCTAATGGTAGATGATCTACCTATGTGCCCTGCAACAGGGTCACGTTTTCTCAGACCCTGCCTCAATCTGCACTGTTTCACCTAATGGTCTCTAAATAACCGTCTCAGGCTGGAGAGAGATGGTTCACTCAGTAAAATGCTAGTCCCAGCCTGGCTACCTGAGCTTGATCCCTGAAGCCTACATATTGCAAATAGTCCTCTGACCTCCACATGTGCACCATGGGACACACACACACCCACACACACACACACACACACACACACACACACACATGCTCACAACATAATTAAATGTAAAATAAAAAGACACTGAAACAATCGTCTCTGGAACATATGCCTGGGCTTTAAAAGGAGCCTCCATCAAACTTCCTGCTTTCCTTCCTAGGTGCTTTCCTGGATACACCATGTGTACCCCACTAGGAAGCGGACCACAGACATCACTGACACGGATACCGATTCCACACTAACTGCCAACCAAGGTTCAAAAGTACAGAAACAGCAAGGAAATCCAGTCTCAAGCAAACTTCCTCTCAAAAATAATGCAACACAATCACCACACTCCTTCCTTACACTTTTTACCACTTTTCACCACAGGCAAGAAAAGGGTGTCTTTGGCTGTATGCCTGAGCATAAGTATAAGGTAAAATCCAAAGCTTAAAGTAACACACATGCCAATGAGGGTGCCCCTCCTCCCTCACTGCCACCAGTCTCAAAAAGCTAGAAAGTAGCAAAGAGCAGGAAGGAAGCTCTAGTCCCTAGAGACAGCTCTTCACTCCCCCCTTCCTCCAGCTCTAGATGTTCCTCTACGTCAGAACCTACAGGGACTTTCATGTCTAAAGCCCAAACTGAACACATCTTTGTCTAACTATAAAGCAAGCCAATGAAACCAGCTGATCTGCCCAGCCCTGGGAGTCAGAGAAGAGCCATTCACACTCAGACTGAAGGACTTGCAAAGCCAGCACACTAGGCGGTGGAATGCTGACTGACAACTACAGTCTACACTTAGTACAGAAATAAGCCTCCGGCCACGGCTGTGAAGATTAGCTAGACTAGGCTGAAGTCAGAATGCCAACCTCAAACTCAAGTAAGCGCACCTTTCTGCGGGCCCAGCGGTATGAAAAGCAGAAAGCTAGCTGAGCACCAGCAATCATCTCCCTGCTTCCTGACTGCAGATGCCTCAAGCTCCTGCCACCGTGTCTTCACCACCACACTGGTCTATAACCTCAGTGAGTCAAAATAAACCCTTCTCTTTTCCTTAAATGGATTTTGTCAGGTACAAGATCACAGCAACAAGAATACGGGTGGGGTCGAGCTACGGGGAAAATGTATTCTACAGATGCAGAGAAACTGTCAGCAGTTACAGAAACATGTAGCCAGGACAAAGGCTTGCACATCACACTATGAACATCACCTGGAAACAAAGAGCAAAGTGACCCTTCTGCCTCGGAACTGTCTGCCTCCAGTTCAAAGCTCAACAATTACAGACATAACTTCACAGAATATTTGTGCAGATCATTAATATTTAATTAAAGCACATTCTCTGGCCCCATCTAAACCCACTCTTCAGCTTCAGGCTAAAACGTCCACAAAACAGTAAAGGGCAGACATCCCTCTAGCATTTCTTAGGTTTGTACAAAGTGCCCTCGTCTCTCTTCCTGAGCGGAAGAGATGGATTACTGCTGAGGACAGACAGGGCTAGAGGCAAGAAGACTACCACGGGTCCCTGCAAGAAAGCTCCACTGGTCCCACCGTGGAGCTGATCAAGTCAGGGTAGCGTGTTCTGTCCCCACAGGGACCAACCAGAGTCAACACCTTTGCAAACAGAAGACAGTACATCTTCTGCTGAGGAAACTGCTCGTGCACTAGGGAACGATCCATAAAAACAAGAGCAACTAGCTCGCTAGCAATGCAAAAACAAGCCATGCTGGTGGTGTACGCCTTTAATCCCAGCATCAGGAGGCAGAGGCAGGCAGATCTCTGTGAGTTCAAGGCCAGCCAGATTCAGAACAGCCAGGGCTACACAGAGAACCCTGTCTTGAAAAACCAAACAACAACAAAATCTAATGTGGACTAAAGACTCCTGAGAGGTAAATGTTACACTTGAACCAATACTGAACCCTGAACTGGGGGGAAACAGCTATCCTGGACCTACTGACCAAACCCAAATAGTGGCTGCAGGTCTGGGCATATGTTTAGTGCACATGTATACTCAAGTGCACGCCCCAGCGTACATCTTGAGGAAAGAGGCTGATGCCAGACATCCTCCTCTATCATAGCGTATTTAGACATGCGCCTATGACAGAGACCGAACAATCCATGACGCAGGCATCAAAAGTGTTGACAGGCTATTTTGAATCTACTTTGCAATCTCTGTTAGCTGGAAACAACTTCCAACTAACAAGGGCTATTTCATTTGTTTGAGGGTGTTTTTTGAGACAGTTTCACTGCCTCAAACCCAGAGATCCACCTTCCTCTGTCTCCCTAGTGCTAGGATTTTTCAGTCTCACTATGTAGTCCAGGCTAGCCTAGAACACATGATCCTCCATCAGCCCCCAAAGTGCTGGAATTGCAGGTGTGCACAACCAGGCCTAGCTTTATCAAGGTGAGGTTCTTTAAGACTCATTATGAGTGTTTTACCTCCATGAATGAACGTACATGTGTGTCTGGTTCCCAGAGGCCAGAAGACAGTGTCAAATCCTCTGAAACTGAAGTTACAGGCATTTGTGAGTCACCATGTAAGTGCTGAGAGCTGAACCTGGTTCTTACACAACAGCAACAAGTATTCCTAAGAATTAAGCCATCTTTCCTGCCCGTGGGGTTTTGTTTGTTTGTCCATGTTTTTAAGACTGTTGTTTCGGTAGTTGTGTATGCGCCCACACACACACCTAGAGGAGGCCGGAAGAGAGTGTCGGATCTTCGGGAACTGGGATTTCTAGCAATTGTAAGCCAGCTGGTATGGGTATTAACGTTGGAACTGAACTGGGGTCCTCTGGTAGAGCAGCAAGAGCTCTTAACCAGCCTCCAGGCCCTTCCAAAAGGTATTATTTTAAACAGAACGCAATGTCCTCCTTGCATAGAGGTCATGATATTCTCTCTATCATTCCAATTTTAGTGAATACACTGCCAAAACAAGCATTGGCAAGGTGTTTTGTTTGCTTGCTTTATTATTTCTTTATTTTTATTTCCTGTATATGGATGTTTTGCCTGCATATTTTTCTGTGTACCACATGCATGCAGTGTCCACAGGGGCCATTGGAGCCTTTGAAACTGCAGTTACAGATGGTTGTAGAGCCACCATGTGGGTGCTAGGAGCCAAACTCCGGTCCTCTGGAAGAGCAGTCAGGACTCTGCCCAGCCTACCTACGAAGTTCATAATCTTCTGTTGACCATTATCTCCTACCTTGCTCTAAGATGGCTTTGCACATGAGAAAGAGAAAGGGAAAGGAATGGGGTTGGGAGTACAATAGGAAAGAGACCAACTTACTTAGAAGCCAAATAGATTTTCACCCACTATTTGGGGGGGGGGGATATCATGAGCTGGGTATGGTGGTGCATGCCTTTAGCCCCAACACTTGGAAGGCAGAGGCAGGTGGATCTCTGTGAGTTCAAGGCCAGCCTGGTCTACCAAGAGAGCCCAGGCAGTTATTCTGCAAGAAAACTGTGCAGAATAAGTAAGGGATCATCAACAGGCATTCTCTTCATCTCCCCATCTACTTCTCTTTCCCAGATCTCAGAAGCCAGATATATCTAATCAATTACATTCCAATGACACTTACTGTGCATATTAACACAAAGATTCTATCCAGAAATTCTAAAACAGGACTAAGAATCATTTAAGACAGAAAAAACAGCCCCAAGAACCCCAAGGAAGTCCAACTTTCCCATCGACAAATAAATAAAATCCAGGCAGCTGTTTGCCCACAATTATCCACTTATTAGTAAAGTCAGGACATGGAACAGTACGCCAGAGCTCCTACCCAGGGATGGCTCCTCTATACAAGTGTCCTGCTCAAGTGTTTGAAGACAATGAGCTGGCACTGCACTGAATGCAACCAGGTAATGAATGTGACATTAGCATACCACTACAATAAGAGCACACTGCAACTCTTCAGTCAAGAAAAACTACCAACAATGTTGCTCCCATGCAAGCAATTTCAATTGCTGTTAACAGCTGTCCTGACTAACAGCAAGTCTCTTTTGTAAAACCCACACACCCTCATCCTAAACTATCACCAGGCCTCATACTTTAACAACCAAACCAGCACCTGCTTGATTTTGGCAAAAGTCTCCAGATGGTCTAACAGACTGCTGTGAACTAGGTAGTAAAATCATGTCCTTTCTTCCTCCAGGATCTACCCAGTGGCTTTGTATCTCAAGATCCAAAGTAAAAGCCAAAGTCTTAACATTCTCCTACTGGCAGAGCTGCCTGCCTTCTCCGCCTCATTCTAAACTAGTTTACTGCTCAGCCCGAAGCCTAGGGAAAAGGGCTGGCTCTAACCTCAGCAAAGATGCAGGGCACCGCTGAGCACAGGGCAGTCAGAGTTCTAGGATGAACCTAGGCAGGGTTCTGCTGCATGGATGATGACGTCATACCAGGCGGAAGTGCCCCCACAGTGTGGTGCTTTCCTCAGTACACCAAGAGAAATCACTCCTGAGCAAGGGAAGAGCAGGCCCAAAAGAATATGTTCAAGTGCTCCTTCCGTATGGGGACTGAAGCCTAGCCTACCCATACACCACGGCAGGAATGAGAGAACACAGGGAGGAGGCCGTCTACAGAGCCAGCAGGTTTGATGAGCGCTAGTGCTTCCACTGAGAGATGCACAGCAGCAGAAAAAGGCAGACGGGAGCCAGTCACTGACTCAAGCCGGGGCAACTTTTGAGTTAATCCTACATGCTTCCAGAGCACCCTGGTATGAAAAGTGATCAGGGGAATACCTCAGCATACAAGGGTTGATTAAGAGCACTCTCTCCCTCACCTCAGATTTCTTTATGTGAACTTCATGTGAACACTTGCATTTTACTTCATCTGTTTGAATCCATGGCCTTACATATAACAGGCAAGTGCTCAACCACAGAACTACCTAACCAGCCTCTTCACTTGCTTTTATAACAATGCCGCAAAGTTGTTAGCAGTTTATCCCTGTGACTACACCAACACTGCCCTAATATTTATAATTTTATTGATGCTCAGTCACATCTTTGAAGACTTTCAAGTCAAGATAATGATGTCATAGTAGCAGCTGCTGAGGGACTTTAGATGCCATCATCTTCCACAGGAAGAGAGTACTGTATGAGCAGAGATTTGTACTCAGTAGGAAATGTCTCTGAGTTTGTGTGGTGTGTGTGTGTGTGTGTGTGTGTGTGTTGCATTTGTGTGTGTGTAGAGTTCAAAGGACAATTTGTAGGATGTTATATAGAACTTACTACAAATGAAAACACACACCAACAGGTATTCAGGAAGAGCTGCAAAGCTCAAGTGCACCACTCCACTCTAAAAACATCCACTTGGTCAACTGTGGTGAAACTCTCCAAGCCCTTATCACTGGCCACTGTTGGCAACTTCAGCCCCCACCCAAGGCTGAAACCTTTAATTTAAATTCCTAACCCTCTAATCCTGTCTGGTTTTTCTGGTGACCAGGACCATACTAAAGACAGATTCATTGGCACATAAAGGGACACCACTTTGGAAATGCCTAGGATTTTACTGAAGTTGCATCACAAATTCACAGCATCACAAACAAAAGCATGGTCCATGGTTGGCTTTGATAGTTCACACCTCCCTTCTCTGCCTCTACCTCCCTAGGAATCCAGCTCTGAGAAAAATGATCAATGAATCAATCAAAACAAGACACTGACTCCACAAGGTATGAATCCACTATGTGTGATTGTTATTTGACTCAAGATATAAACCTTCCAAGGTATCAAACACTCACTCCATTTTAGTGATGTATTACAAAACTCTGATGGCTCATTGTTGGGATGATGTTCTTGTGGAATGTATACAATTTACTCTTGTTCATTCAAATGCTGATTTCTCTACTCCTCTATCTGGTTTCAATCTGGATACTGCAATGTGAAGCTTATTCTAAGTATCACCTATATCAAGTTTGTGTAAACATGCCACCATTTGTTCTCTGTATTGTCAATTAAACAACCAGCCAAGGCTGTGCAATGGAAAGAATAGGGTAAGACATCCTGGTCCGGAGAGGAGAAGGGAGAGGGTGGAAGGACAAGGAGGAGAGCAGAAATCGGCAGGACAGACTCGGAACCCTGAGGAGGGATGACTGGACCTAAGATGTGACTAGAAGCAAGGATAATACCGGAAACCTGAATGGGAGGAAACTATGTAACTATTGCCCAGCATTGTGCTCTAGGTTAATTAAATAAATCCTAGTCTATGTGTGATTTTGTTATACAGCTGGTTTAGGAATAACTGCTGATTAACTAAAAGATAAATCATAATAAATATTAATAAAGCACAACAGCTCGTTCTCATCCATTTGGGAGGTAGGGGAGGAATCTACCTAAAGAATAAAAATCATTCACCTAAAATACAATACTCCCGTGCCACTCAGGGACCCCTGTGGAAATTTCATACTGAGAAATAGATGCTCAGGGGCCACCTCTGGTAGCCCATGTCATCACTGTACCACTCTTATTCTCAGGCAAAAATTTGCCCATTTTCTACGGTCTTGTATGTAGGATACTGACCCAACCTTACTCATTTGTTTTTAGGTTGGCTATTTTTGATGGCACAGAATGAAATACCTGCTAGTCCTCCAAACCAAGAGTAATGTCTAGAAGGTTCCTAGTTATCCCCAGCATGACATGTGCTGCCATTTCACTTAAAAGCAGCTACCTTTATCCTTGTCTCAGATTCCATCTTACCTCAGGCCCCACAGCCATTTGTGCTCTGCTACTAACTGTAAATACTACTTGCTCATGGTACAGCCAGAGGCAGCCTGTCCAAGTAAGTCTCCAAAATTCCAGACTACTATCAAAGACAGATTACCCATTCCTAACCTATAATACATAGGTGTGATTCAAATGTAATCTTTTTTTTAATTGGGGAGGGGAGTTGAAACAGCCTTGGTTGTCCCGGAACTCACCCACTCTGTAAACTGGAGATCTGCTAGTAGCAAAGGCATGTGCTACCCACTGCCTGCCTTCAAATGTAATCTTATAACTCATCTTGTAGATCAGATTTAGAATTTTTAGATTAGGCTTAGAAAAGAAACTTCTATAGTTCTAGTTGCTTGGGAGACTGATGCCCCAGGAGTTCAAGGCCAGCCTGGGCAAAACAAGACAGCAAGGAGAGAGAGAGAAAGAAACTGAGTGGTCTCATCTGTGTGCTTTCATTTACATTAAACAGTCACAGCAAGAATATCCAAAAGCACAAAAGCCAGGGGCTTGAAGGAGCCACAGAGAGACAACTGAGTAGGACTTCCTCTGGAGTAATGAAAAGACTCTGAAACTCTGAAACTCAAAATCTACCCAATGGCATGTTTTGTTTGTGTTTGTGGTACGCTAGACAGGTGCTCTGTTAGTGAGCTGCACTCCTTGTCCAAAGTCAGTGAGTCTGGCACTCTTTAGAATGTCCGTTTTTGTTGTTGTGTTTAGGATTTATTCATTCACTATCCATACAGTGTTCTGTGTACATGTACCCCTGCACCAGATCTCATTATAGATGGTTCCCACGACCTCTGGAAGAGCAGTGTTCTCAACCTCTGAGCCATCTCTCCAGCCTCAGAATGTCCAGTTTTAAGACAGGCATAATGGTGTGTACACCCATAAACCAGCACTTGAGATGAGGTAGGAATACTATGATGTGAATGCTAACCCAAGCTATAGACAGATCTATCTCCAAAACAAACAAAAAAAAGCAGAGATACCTCCTACAAACAGAAAAATAAACTCTAAGCTACAATAACTTTTTCTACACACACAAGACTCTGGAGTAGTAAGAAGCCACTAGCCTTTGCTGGTAGCCCTTTAAGATAATTAATAATGAGTACATGAACACAGCTGGTATAACCTTCTGGAAAACAAGAAATACCTTAAAAATGTTCATATTAAAATTAAAATTATCCCAAAATGAAAGGCTTATGGGGGTGTGGGAGTCTCCACACCCTTAGG